TTAGACGCGCGCCAGGTCTCGATCCTTTCACTTCTTCTGGTTTCAAACTTTAGCCCGCGTGCAACGGCGACAGGCAATGAACCGAATCATTCGCGCGGAAAAAATTTTCGCTGCACCGGTTCTTTTACTGACGTAACACAACCGACTGACGTTTGACACTTGATATTTCTTGCGGCCTTAGGTGTTCTGGTCTTTCGCGAAATCGGCGAAATCCACGGGACCGTGTCGAAAGTAAAAACTCTCAAGTCGTCGTTTTCACGTCGATTATAATCCGAGCAGCCGCGTGAATAATTAAGAAGAAATCTACGAGCACGTGAGAAGAAACGTTTCCGTTTCTCCTGGATCTCTCGGTAAGGAATAATCGAGGCGCGAGGAAAAACACAATCAACCACGCTCCACTTTCCGAGGCCAATTAATGTTATTATGACAGCGTGTGTGCCAGAGGGAAAATTCGAAATCTCTGGAATAATGTCGATTGTCGGTCAATCTCTACTCGATCCCCGTCATTTTCTAAGATTCGGTATTGATCAGTATTTTCCGGCAAAAGATTCGAAATCTCGACTGTCAGAATTTCTATCTCTGTTTCTTTTGTTTGCTTCGCCCTGTACTACACTTTCAAGGATATTTTCATTGAACCAGCTGTCCTTCTAAAGCAAGGCTTTCCATCAGATCGATGTTAGAAAAAAAAGTTTAATCTCTTTAGAAACTCGATAGGTTTCGGTCCGATTCTGCTCGATGACAGTATCGATGACCAGCACGACACAATCTGACAATGTCGCAAACAACAGTTTAGCTCGACTAGGAGCACATATTGCAAAGAAGAGAAATCGTGAGAGTTTCATTGCGAAAAAAATTGGGGCAAAAGGTGCGATCGCCAGCGTAATAATCGGTAATAACCCGTAACCCTTATCCAGGCGTTGAAATCACCACTCACCGATGCCACCGTAGCAGATGACGTACAAACGCACGTGGAACCGCGCTCTCAAATATCACCGCGCAAATATCTCCTCAATTTCGAAACGATCCGTCACGGTTCAAATTCACGAATTTCAATCGTCTAGCCTTCTTATCGAAGATATCGAATACCTTGTCGTGCCTGGTCCGAAAAAAGTTCTGACAGCGCGATGACAGTCGTTGCATTCAGGACGAGAGTCTGTCCTCGAGTCACATATTCGTCGTTCGAGCAGCTTTGTTAATCCTGTTGTCGCGCGCCGGATCAACGTAAAGAAGAAGAAAGAGTTGTCGCGTTAACGTTTTTCACCACGTTCCAGTCCTCGAGACATCCTGCGAATGGTTCCTGGATGAGGTTGCCGTGAAAACTGAGTCGTGACTCGAAGCTAAAGAGAAAGGCGGCTCGAGAAGCCGAGGCCTCCCTCATTGGCAGTTGATACGCGCTGTCCTTTCGTGGACACGCGGGCTCTCCGACTTGAAACCGAGAACACATTTCTACAAGAGACGAGGACGCTAAGGTTGCGCTTCATCGGTTCGTCGCCACTCACGGCCGTATTGAAAATCGT